TCAGAGAAATTTTGCGAAACGTGGTAAATTCGGTGGTAATTTTCGCAAAGTCTTGACGACTTTACCGACTGAAAACCGCCACAATTTTCACCGTTCACTTTGTGAATAATTTCGATTCGTCTTCAAATAACGAGTAAAATACCTTTTGGTTTTTGTCGTTATCTCGATTAGAAACAGTTTGAATTTTTCTTACATTTCGCTTTGAACTTTCCCAACCTTTAGTAACCTTTCTGTAGTGTGTGTATCGACACATTTGAATTTCGCGGCAGAAAACTTTTTCATGCAATTCGGTATAAATCCAGGGAATTTTTTCGTTCGGTCACGAGTCGCATGAATTGAGTATAATTGCGATATTATATATACATACATATATTTGGAGTTTACTTGGTCATTAACCGGTCGATGTCGCGTATTCTTTTTCTTTCTTTCTTTTTATACGTTCTTCTTTTGCAAACTCACGCATACACACTGGAGAGGAGTTACAATCGAGGGAGGCGGTCGATTATTCGTGTCGAGATCGGGTATAATAAAATGCAGCGGTAAATGCACACGACCAACAGGATATTTCGATTTCTTTCCGCGTACATTCTCTCTCGGACTCGCAGGCGAAATTACGAGCACGCGCACCGTTTTTCAGCTACTCTGGCCAGGAGATACGACGGCAATAAAGTCTCTCTCTTTCTTTCTGCTTTTGGCGGTAGTTTCAGGAAGAGAGAGTTTCAGGGAAGGCGAGGTCCGTCGACGACACAGTGTCGTCGAGAATTTTTCAATTTTGCGCGTTAACCGACACAGTGTCGACGCGAGATTTTCGACTTTCAGTCGTCGACGACACAGTGTCGACGCGAGTTTTTCAATTTTGCGTCGTCGACGACACAGTGTCGACGCGAGTTTTTCAATTTTGCGTCGTCGACGACACAGTGTCGACGCAAGTTTTTCGACTTTCAGTCGTCGACGACACAGTGTCGACGCCACAGTGTCGACGCGAGTTTCTCGACTTTGCGTCGTCGACGACACAGTGTCGACGCGAGTTTTTCAATTTTGCGTCGTCGACGACACTGTGTCGACGCGAGTTTTTCGACTTTGCGTCGTCGACGACACAGTGTCGACGCAAGTTTTTCGACTTTGCGTCGTTGACGACACACTGTCGACGCGAGTTTTTTGACTTTGCGCGTCGACGACACAGTGTCGACGCGAGTTTTTTTTGACTTTGCGCGTCGACGACACTGTGTCGACGCGAGATTTTCGACTTTGCATCGTCGACGACACAGAATTGCGCTTCAAGGTTCACAATGTTGAGTTTATCAGTGTATAAATATGTTTGCTTGTGGGTATCTGTTCTGTTGGCGTTAGAAACTTGGGCAAAATGTTAGTTCGGAAAAGTACATGTTCGTCTGAGAGATTTTTATGGTAGTTGCTTTCAAATTGTGTATTTAGCTCTCTGACCGCACTCTCAGTACAGTGTACACTGATAAGTTTGACTATCGAGAGCAACTCGCGATAGTTTTACTCTGGAATGGTCACGTATGTACGTTAACGCTAAAGCAGGTGCAAATAGAATTATTCCGGAGAGACAGAGACTGAAAACGCATTGCGAAAAGAAACTTGCTGTTACTATTCTCGGTGTAACTTAGGATTGTGTTTAGAATATTTTTTCGAGGTGTATTGCAGAAGAGAACTATTAAAAATGTCTACAAAGAGTATTTACAATGAACGAAAGAAGTTCGTACATCGTAAAATATTCGACTTTAACTCTTTGAGGACTGTGGACTCGTGTGTGCCTTCACGAAACACTGTGAACACAATGAATAACTCAGTATTTTTAAGCAGTAAAAATAATTCGCTTTGCCGTAAACTCGTATACCCGTATTTAAAAGAAATACAATTTTGAAATGATTTAGCGTAAGAAAAAAGATTGAAATAGTGACCTAATAGTTACATGTTCCCAAGTAATCAGTATCTCAACATGGAACCCCTTAACGTTCACATATTTCTCAACTTAATGCGCCAAAAATCATTTTAATTATTTCCTAGGTGCATAGAAATAAATTTCCCATGATTTATAATGCTGTAACTCACATAGAATAGAAAGAATGACGCATGAATAACTAGCATGAGCGTTAAATACTTAACCCGTAATTATTTCATAATAGAAAAATTAAACGAAGATTTCTTCTCGTCAAAATGAACAGAATGATCGCAGCATTCGAATGGAGCAGCCCAATTCATGAAAATTGAACGATACGATACATACTCTGAAAGTTTAAATTTGCTATGTTTACTACTAGAAAAAACCATAATCTTTATAATAAAAAAAGTCTGGATACTTTAAAACAATTTTTCGTACATTCTCATTTTTGGGCCAAATTGATTTCCTACATTTTCGATATGCAGGTATACAAAAGAGATTCGCGCGGGCCTCGAGCCGCGAAGTGTTAAGGGGCGACAACCTCTCTCGATCCTTATCCAATTATGCATACGTAACTTCAGCTACGTGTGAGGATTCCTTCCTCGTCGTTTAAATCCGCGGCCCGTAGCAATATTTAACGTTTGCGCCGCGTCCAACAAGGTAGATCAACGTGCATACGCGTACGAGAAAACGAACGGATCCTCCGTATACCGGTGCACGGTGATTCCCCGAGGCCGATTGTTACACCTACGCGAGGTGCTTTCCTTCGCGCGAGTAACGTTTTTTTAATTGAAACGCTGAGGAACTTGAATTCAATGGACGGCGATAGAGGCGCGAGAACAGATTGTTTCACGGTCGAGTAGCTGGTGGTTGTTGAAGGCAATTGTCACGGATTCGATAGTATCGACGAAATGCGTTCGTCGAAATACGCGCGGTTCATTTGGAAAGTTCGTGGGATTAAGTGGGAAAAGAGGGCTTCTAGCGTTTTTCACTATAGCTATTTTGATTTTTTGCAATTTAATTCTCTTTATCACTGGTGGAGGTACTTCGAAGCAATTATATTCGTTAATTGGTTCGTTAAGACCTGAGAAATATTCGTCGATGGCCATCTTAACCCTTGTACAGAAATTGGGTCAATTTGATCTAAAGTCAAATTGTACATTGTTTTTTCTGTGTTGTTAAATGTATCATTTGGACTGAAATTTTTTTGTATCTTTCGTGGTAAAGAAATTCTCTCGTGGTATAGAACGTGTTAATCAGATTTTCTCAGCATCTTTTTCCATTCGTTTATTGTATTCCTTGTGTTAGATTCAGAATTCGGAATTTTCTTGAATATTTTCAAAAATTATACAAGTATCTAGGTTCCTCTAGGTTCCTAAAGTTTATTAATATACTGAGTTATCCTTTGTTATCCTTTGGAATTATTGGAATACTTTTTACACTCACGGTAGATTCGATTATTTATCTCTGCAACACAAGATACTCAAATTACCATATTTAAAAAACGTACAAAATATTAGATACATTTAAAAAAGCAGAATAAATCGGACAATAGAACGCACAACTCTCGAAACACAAATATTTCTCTCAGCCCTAGTTATCCAAAGTATGCAAGAAACGAAGGAAACGCTGAACCGTGAGTTAGCCAAACTGTAACGGTGAAATTGAAAAATGAAGTTAAAAAGACATCGTCAATGCCACAATAAGTGCATGTCTGTTTCTGAAATAACGGTTCGTGTGTCTTGTTTCGTTTGCGACAGCTGGTCTATTAAATGCTGTAACGAGAATAAAGGTTTTGTTATTTACTGTAAAGCAGAAAATTGCGTCACTGAAAATTATCCGCTCCGTGTAGCCACACTATACCAATTTCTCTAACAGGCATTCATTTCACCTATAAAGCGGTCTGTTCATTTTCCATATTACCGGTGGTCCAATCACCACTTAGAATTTCGAGCCGAGCCATTGAAAGTTCTGCGAAGAACGTCACGGTTCATAAATTTCTGACGATTATTTTGATTCTGTGCACGCAACGTTACTTCGCAAGCTTAGCAAATCAAGCATCTTCTCTCTGTTATGCAATTTCTCGCCAACTTCCTTTTTCGATACATTCTTGCCTTTGTTCTTCTTCAAGATTTCTTCTCTGAGATTCCAACTTTGTGTACATTATGCACAGGAAAATATTTGCGCAGCGCCTCTTTCGTTTTAATTTCTGTACAATAATTAGCGAAGAACAGTTGTAGTTTACTTGGAGAAATTGATTAAGAAACAATATGTTTAGGAAGAAAGTTTGGGATCACTGAAATTGTCAGAAAAAAGTTTAGCAATTTTTAGAGTCTCTTATCACTCAGATTAATCAGAGTGAGGTAAATTACTATTAATTTAAGAATTTTTTAGCACTCAGATTAATCGAAACGAGGTAAATTACTACTGATCTCCACAACGTTAATTTCAAATTTATAAAGAATTGGTAGCAGATTTAATATTCGTGTAAACAGCAGGTGATTCCAAACTTTTCGCGTATTCAATAATATTCGAAATAAAATAAGTGTCTGAATATTTATGTAACACACTAATTAGACACAATTTTCAAATGTTTTCAGTTTAACGTTCGTTTCATTGGTGTCTCAATATTTTTAAATTAAATCTATAAAGAATTAGCAGCACATTCAATATTCACATAAATTAACATTCTTACAAGACACTGTGTATAAACTACGAATACAATTCCCAGCAAAACTGGTTAAGCACCCTCTAATCTCTTTCTAATCGCACCTCACCAACAACGCCCTAATTAAAACTCTCCAACCCTACTGTAACATCTCACACTTCCACCTCTTACTCTAAGTACGCACAGAAATTCTATCGAATCGACTATCAACAAACAAACAAAAAAAAGAAAAAAAACATTTCATATGTACACAAAATACGATGCAAACTGAAATTTCGTATTCGCTGTTGCAGAGAACGAAGACTTCGTGGCCGGAAGGGTTCGAGAGTAGAGCATGAGGGTCGGCGAGGAAACGCGGAAAGAACGTTCACAGTTCGGCGAAGCAGTTAATGACTGGCAGTCACCAAACACAGCTGGCCACGTCTCTGTCTCCTTCGGTTGGAGATGAGCACGAAGGAGCTGAACTCGGCAACGATGACAACAACGATGTCGACGGCCGCGACACTTGCGTCCTCGCCGATCCTCGATGTTGACGTTGACGTCGATGTCGACGTGGATGTCGACGTAGACATCGATGTCGACGTCGAGCCGGAGGACGACGAAGAGCCACCTACCAGGATCAACACGGCGGATATAGACTTGGTGAACGGACCGAATCCGTGGCTTCCTGCCTACGGGTTCCAACTGCAGCATCGTTCCCATTTTCAACCGACGCACGAGGATCTACGGACTAATGGTTCGTACTGTTACTACTATATACTTCACTTTCTACCACCGCTTAACACAACGCGTGAGTCTCGACTGTGACGATGTGTTCGAATTATGTAGAACGTGGTATACGACGATTTGTAACGTAGGAAAATTTACCTTGGTGTTTATTTTTCTTCCTTCTTGCTCTTATGATTTTTTTTCTTTTTTTTTTAGTGCTGTGAAACCCTTTGTGGGATTATCAGTGATACGCACTTGTTGTGCATGTTAACATTATGTGTATCTACATTTGGACAAACAGTATGTATGTAGATCTGAAAGTGTTAAAGAGAAATGTATGTAACTAAATAGAAGGTAATATTTTGTATAAACATTTAAAGGTGCAAAGAGTGCTTCTTGAGCAATTTGGAGATAATTGAGAGAGGTATAATAAATTGTTTACACAGAAAGGAGGATCCACCTTGTTTCTTACGTTAGCATAAAGGATAAATAGTGTCCTTTTTTTTTAGATGAGTTCTTGAAGGTGCGTTTAACGTGTTTCTACATGTGCTTAATTAATCGTCCAATAAGTGTGATATTTTTTAATTGTCTTCTTTCATTTTCCATATTGAGTGATCCTTTCTATTATGGCAAAAAAGAAGTAAGTTAGAGCGTTGTAAATAATTTTTACTAGTAAATTTCTATACGCCTAGGAAGTAATTTAAAAGAAACATAAAATTGATATAAGCGTTCGTTCTGTCCTCACTTCTTCCTGCGTTCGGCATTTGTTTATGTTTCTTTGAACTTGAATTTTATCGAGGTGAGTAGCGACCGAGCATTCGTTCGTATGGTTTAAACTCTAAACGAACCTCGAGATCGCAGCTGTGTTTACATTTCATAACAATACAGTGTTATAAAAAAAATTGTTTTTATAACTTGTTACAAGATTGTACCTTTTGGTATTGTAGTGACAAGAAGTTTGTGCAACGTTTAACACCTCATTATTAATAATGACGTCAAACGGTGGATGGCACATTAGTTTAGGCGAATAGCGACATGTGTTATAACAGTGTTTTATAGCTTTCTTTAATTTTTACCGATACTTGACGCATAACATATAAATATTATTTAACATAATACTTTTCTTTCCCTTTTTCTAACAAGTTTTATGACTTTGCTGCGTAACGTGTTATAATATACTGTAAAAAATTTGTTTATAAAATATTTTATAAAGTGGTTATCAAACGATAATGAGAAGTAATATATCTTCGAGTGTTTAAATTTACATTTTTATCAAAGTTTCAATTGTAAAATATCTAATAAAAATATGCAAATGCACGTGATATTTTTTTTAAATCACGTGTATTTACAATCTAATATCCGAACACAATAACGTACATCGAAGTAAATGCAACGTAATTGAATATACTTGAAGTATCCATTAACACCGAGTTTCTACTTGGTAAACCTAATTTACATATGATAGTTACAATTTGCTCTAACTATTTTATCTTAATGTGACAAGTAATTAAGAGATATGCCAAGAACATGGAATTAGAAATTTACAATTTTCCTGAAGATAGAAATCGAACTGGTTTCTTTGCTTCTTCAATAGCTGCACGTGGAAAAAGTGTCTGGTTTGTCTAATCGTAATGTCTGCAGATTTCTTGGTTTTCTGCTACACGTTAATGTAGCGCTAATCTATTAGTATGAATCATAAGTTTCGAAACGAGAATATTTTTCTTCCCGTTTTATCGTGAAATAAAAATGATAATTACGGCCGATACTTTCTTGGTCTGTTCGTTTTCTTTTTAAACGGACGAACGATATATTCAATCATTCCAGCTATAACTTATTAATGTACACAGAGCAAATAAAGTATGTATGTATGTACAAGCACCTTTGCCTTCTGGCTGATTTTATGGAACTTCAGCCAACAGTGACTGGTTTCAATAATCTCTTATAAATATTACATCAAACAGGAAGTCTCGTTATTTATGACAAATTCCAGAAGTCCTTCTCTTCGTCTACGCTCTAGATATTGACAGAGCCTTGTATCATTACCGTAATTTTCAGCGAATAGAAAATAGCTCGGGTTTGCATACAAATCGCTTGTTAATGGCTAGATTTTAATGCGGGCTACTTTCTATAACTGTGGGCGAGTGTGCGTGAGTTAATGAAAAACTACGAACACAGACCGGGGTGTTGGTCATGCAATATCCATTTGCAAGAAGGACGATTTATTTCGTCTTGAAATCTTCCGAAAATTGTCTGAGAAAATGCACAGGATGTCGTTAACCTGCAAATTACAGAAATAAAAAGAAATTTTAATACATTTGTCTAAACTATCTGAAATTATTTAGTAATTGCGTTGCATTTTGGTGAATGAATGATTTATATTGTTATTGCATTATTATGTATGAATTTTCAGGAAGTTACATCAGTATTTTCTAAAATTTCTTGGTCGTGGTTCATTGAGAAAATTATATTTCACATCGTGATTGAATATGTGTGTAGATACGGGAAAGTAAAAGTAACGGAATGTATAATATATGATAAATTAAGTGCAATGGAAATTCTGCCGAACGTTAATATTCATAACGGAAATTCGTTAATATTTTCATAAGAATTTGACGATAACCAAGTTAAAAATAAAATACATCCAAGATAAATATATACTATCATACACCATTTTACATAAAAAAGTTATGTACATTTTTAAAATGATACTTATTAACATTCAAGTCAAGTTAATGCAAATATTCACAAAGAGCAACGTAACGTTATAATTCTTTTGACTTACAAAATTCTTTTTTTATATATTTTTTTGTTATGGACTTTACAATTTTTCCAGCTGGACATTTGATAAATTCTTCTAACATTCAACTTTCAATAGTTGTCTGTTATTGTTTTTATATGGTTAGGTCAGTGAGATGCTTCCTTTTTAGTCTTCTTTTTTATTTGAGCTTCGTACGCTTCTGCAACCAACAGGTTTGGGTATGTTGCAATTTTTTCTTTGTACCTTTTTGCATACCTGTTCTTCCTTAACTGTTGGGATTTTTAGATCTTTACGTAAGACTTCGTTTCCGATACACCATGGTGCATTGATAACTGTTCCGAGTATTTCCGATTCGAGTGACTTCAATTTAGTGATATGGCTCATTGATAATATTTCCAAAGATAAGAGTTACCAAAAATTTCTATTTCTTACCGTTATTGCTATTTTCTCACTCTTCAAGAATTCTCCGAGCTTGGTAAGGTCACTTAAAAAAAGTGAAAAATTTGAAATCTGTTTCCAGGATTTTCCTACGGTAAAATAGTTCCTGTGGTAAAAAATTTCTATGGTAAATAAAGAACAGCATTCCATCTACACCAAAAGATAATCAATAAAAAGTAATTCGATACTTGGTAAAAACATCGCAACGCCAAATGTTAACGCATTGAAGTGCATTACTATACAAAGAACGCGCTGTTTCTTTCATTCTTAATCATCAGTTACGTAAAAATACAAAACGATGTGATGCATTCATTCATTTGTTTTTCTTGGTTCGTGCGATTAAAACGACGCACAACGAACAAGAAAGGAGGTAGATCACTGATTATTTTTGTGCAAGGCGACGGATTATTCACGTCCGTTGGTCGGTTGCGGAACGATCGGGCAACAGGCGACTGCAACAGGTGGTGCTCTCTTCCATGATGTTGCATAGTATGTAGTGCGTTCCTTTACACTTATGCAAGACAAATTGCGCATTCCTGTAGGACGATTTGTTCTCACAATGGTCATTATGTCTAATCTGTTTCTTTTAGAGGGAAAAGAAAGGGAAGTGTGTGGGTTAATCTAACATGGAAGAAGATACTTCTCTAACGTACATATTTCTGGTATTACCATTACGAAAAAACGCACTATACGCGTATAAAGCGTTTCTCTGTACATCGTGTAGTTCCGTGAATTGGCATTCGTAAATGATATTACTGTTGATCTGTTGTGTAGTGGAAAACGAATAGTTTTTGTATATTCGCTTGGTGGTTCGTTTCTGATGCTAAAAATTTAGGAATAAAGTGAACTGATTGGATGTACTTAGTTATTTACATATTGGAATGTATTTAGGAACGCAGATGATAGGTGATCGATGTAGTTTGCGAAGGTTAGTAGCGAAACTGAATTTTCGTAAATATGAAGCATAGGATTTTTGAAAGTTTTTTATAAACGTAATTAATATTTGGTACAATTTTGTTTTATAACGTAATGTGAAATATAAAAGTTGGTACGGTTGTATAATATGTTTTTGTGTTAGTGATAAGGTTAATTATCGTTTAAATTGTTGTGATATCTAGTCATATGCTTCACAGTTTGTATACGATAATTATTTAGCAATATTTTCATCGTAGAAATATAGAATATAAAGTGAAATATGAAAAAAGTTAATGAAACTTTCATTAAAAAAAGTACACCTACATAGGTACTAGTGCTTCTAATTAATTACTTCGAAGTTACTTTAAAGCACGCGAACATATCTTGACATTGTCTGCATTTAACCTATTCCTAATGGAATTTTTATCTGGATATTTAGTGAAACGTTTTTCAAGTGGAAAAACAGCTTTGCACACGTAATGTATTCAAATAACGTTCGAGTCATAAAATCTTGAATTGAAGCATCACCTGTAAAATCTTCAGTGACTAGATCTATGCGTCATCGTAATCGATGATAGTGTGTATCGATCGTGCAATCGTATCTTGGGGAGAAAAAACGAACGAAGGATTTATAACAAATTGCACAAAGAAAATTCAGAGAATCATTTGATATACGCTTTATGGAAGACGAAATCGTATTTATTCGATCGCTGATTGGCTAGTGCAGAAAAATTCAAATTATCAATAAGCGTCTAATACATAGATGTCGCGGTTGTCCTTCCAGTGCGTCCTTAATGCGCATTTTTCTGAAGCGGCGATACCTGGTCTGTCGCGCGATGTTCAGAAATTTGGCAACGGTGCAGAATTTCCATCGGGTTCTGACTCATCGGTCTGCGTACCGTTAGAAACCGATTTCTAGTTAGCCCTTCAGAAATTGACTTTATGATACGTCTTCGGTTATTGCGAACGAATGAAATACAAATTCTAGAACCTTATCTAACGAAGTATTTTCCCGCCAAGAAATATGTAAACAGTTCTAAAGGTAAGCTAACGTCGTAAATCTCAAAAATAGTCTCCTTCGCGACTGTGTTATAAACTGTGCTAAACAAAGATCGAACGTTTTCTGTTTCTACAGACAGAACACTGATATTAATATAAAAACCACTAAAATAGTGCATTATTTAATATACCAGTTGTTAAAGGTATGAAACAAATTTTATCTTGATGCGAAACATATGGTAGAGGTTACTTTTTTGGCGGCAATTTACGTTGCAACACTTTTTTGCTTATATAGCAAATAGCTCCATCACTTCGCAGTAGCTACTTAAATATTTATTAGCAAGACACCTGTAAGAATTACTTCTATTCTAGATTTACAGATTATGATCTCTACTATACGATTTCACATTTTATTTGTAACGAGATATTTGCTCGCTGTTTTTTTTTCTTTTTCTAAAGCAACGCATTATTGCTAGTGTACTAATAAAAAAAAAACATGAGTCACGAGACATGACAGATGCTTCTGTCCTGTGTCGTTTATGAATGGATTGTATTCATTTTGTATTCGTCGAAGATATGAAATGTTTAATTCGATAGCCTTATCGTTTACCACTCGTGGAAAGTTACGGAACTTCACTCTCTTCGTGAAATTTACAAACGAGGAAAGAGCTGCGCTCTTGCGGCGTTTGATTGCAATAGTCAATATTCTTGCGAGAATGCATAACGTTTGAATTGTTTGACTTCAATTTTTCATGTGCAATCGATTTTGTTTAGTGTCTTTATTATCGTCGTTCGAAGGCGCAACTTTACGATTGATCCTTCAAATTAAAAAGAGAAAAATGTAATTTAAAACTGAAACATAAAGCTTGCTACGTATTTATCGTATATAAAGCTGCTTTGCATTTTTTTCGAGATTGTAGGTTATTTTATCAAGTTTCGCGGGGAAAATTCACTGTTTCGTTCTTTTTGTTGTTTTATCGTCAGACTTTTCGAGTAAAATGAAAGCGTACGTTAACGTGTTTAACTTTTCCGCGAGAGTAACTTTTCAATTAACGGTTTGAGTGCATTCATTCTGTCATTGTATGATGTTTATACAATTATGCAGCGTGAATTGCATGCCAGTTGTCGGTTACCAGTGTCAGCGACTTGTACGAGCTAAACAGTTATTCACTAACGACAAAGAATTAAAGTATGTTCTATTTTATTAAATTTTAACATTTAAATATTTCTTCATAACTTTAAGTTTAGATAATAATTAACAATGGTGGTTTCTCAATTTTAACATCAGTTAACGCATGTTGAACGACATAACAGTTTTGTTCTACAATACCGTAGGAGACGAGGAATAATTTAGGGGACACAACGGGAATCGAACTCGTGACTTCCGGCTGGCTAGCCGATGCTCATCGTTTTTTTTTTTATACATTATTATACATAATAATGATTAATGAACAGTGTCAAGAAACATATGAAAGTTATTTAGAATGTACTGGTGAAACATTTGAGTTCCTGCAGTAAATTCAAAAAGAAATTGAATATCTGGTAAAGTATTGAGTGTTCAATGACCATACTTTATACTTTTTACTCACAGGATTACTTCAACAATTAATTTATGTAAAAAAGGATTGTGTAGTTCCATTTAAAAACAAAGTGCAGTTGCACTTTTGAAAAGAATTGTACTACAGTGCAATGTTTTCCTCTATAATTTTTTCTAACCTCACTTGGAACAAAGCTATAGCCTGTCTCAGTTGCTATAATCACCCTGTATACATTCGAAATGCCTGATTTTACTCTGGCGTAGCGCATTTTGTTTATAGGGTCTTTTTAATCGTCAGCTTTTCAACGTTTCCCGGGCATTGTACCGAAAAGCGTATTCACCGTGGCCGAATAAATTACAGCACACAGTAGCAGAGGTGGAAGACCTTACGTGACGATGGAAAGGATTACGTTATTCCAGAATACGTAATAGTTGTGGTCACATTGGACGTAGGAGCACGTGATGTGATGCCCCATAAACGTAACTGGCAATGAGTCACAGGCCGTTAGAGCTTCTCGTTAATAATTTTAACCGAGTTTCATTATATTCCTTCTTTTTTCTTTTTTCCATCCATTTTTGGCTCTCCTCTGCGTGTATCCGGCGCACTTTCACTAACGAGAGACCCTAGAACGCGATTTTTATCGCGATGCCCAGGCTTTTTATGCGGCACGTCTGATCGTTCACTGCGTTCTAATCTTTCGTGCTGAATTCACGAGTGTTTTAAAGACGGCGAAAAAGAAGAAAAGAAACATGTGATAAATTTTCATTTGTCTAATTTCTTGCGTCGTTTCGGAGATTTGCACTTTGTGATGCAGAGTGAAACGTGGACAGACTGTAATTACTAATTAGTGGAATCGTTTAAATGATTGATTAGCTGAAAACGCTACTGGCTAAGTAGTCTTGTTACACTTTAGCCCTGGTATGTGGTTCTTGGTTCTCATTGATCAATTTTTATCGTTACTTTTTATCGATGTTTCGTGAGAGGATTATACTGGGTGGGGCAGGAAGCGTGGTATAACGGGGCGGAGAGTGATTCTGCGTGTTGTAAAAATAAATTGAAAATGAAGAAGTTTCTCAATTTTACAATTTTTTTTTCTATTTTTGATGCCACATTGTACGAATTTTTTTGAAGTTACAGGAAAAATATAATTGGTTTCTATTTAAAAAATCGTACAGATTCTGTTCTCTTTTTAAACCTAACAGATTATTAATTTTTATTAGATATTCAG